TAGCAAGAAAAAGGAACTAGAAAGCTTGAGACTTAAAAAAATAAATGGAAGTATCATAAGGTCTAGGGCCAGATGGCGAGAAGAAGGGGAAAAGCCAACTAGTTATTTTTTGAGTTTAGAAAACAGAAATTTTACCTCCAAGATCATCCTTAAGATACAGAAATCAAACATTACTATTACCGATCAGGACGAAATATTAGAAGAAGTATGCTCTTTTTATGAAAAATTATATTATGACAGTCATGATACCGAAGACATAGACTTACATGATTTTACAAACTCATTTGTGGTTCCAAAATTAGATGATATTCAATCTGAAAGTTTAGAAGGGTTACTTACTTTGGGAGAAGCAGCAATAACATTAAAAAATATGAAAAATAATTAAAGTCCGGGTTCCGATGGTTTTACTGTAGAATTTTTTAAGTGTTTTTGGAAACAATTGGGTGTTTTTATTGTTCGGTCCATAAATTGTGGGTATGATAAAGGTTCACTATCTGTAACTCAGAGACAAGGAATTATTACATGCATTCCCAAGGGAGATAAGCCTAGACAATACTTAAAAAATTGGCGACCCATATCATTATTAAATATTGTATATAAAATTGCTTCAGGATCTATAGCAGGTAGAATAAAAAATATCTTAAATACATTAATCAGTGGTGATCAAACAGGATTTATTGCGGGTAGATATATTGGGGAAAATACTAGATTAGTTTATGATATCATGCAATTTACTGAGGAAAACAATATTCCAGGTATGTTATTAATGATTGACTGTGAGAAGGCTTTTGATTCAGTGTCATGGGAATTTATATCTAAAGTCTTAACATTTTTCAATTTTGGTTCTAGTCTGAGAAACTGGGTGAAAGTTTTACACACAGATGTTTATTCAACTATCAATCAAGGAGGTAATTTGTCCTCTTTTCTAAGTATTAAAAGAGGTTGTCGCCAAGGCGACCCAATCTCCCCATATATTTTTATTTTGTGTGTGGAAATACTTTCCATAAGGATAAGAAACAATAAGATGATTCAGGGTATAGGGATAAATAATAGTCCAATCCTAATTTCTCAATATGCAGATGATACGTCTCTCATATTAGATGGTACTGAAAGATCTTTGAAAGAATCCATTGAAGAATTAAATATATTTGCGAGAATTTCTGGTTTAAAATTGGATATTAGATAAAACACAGGTGATCTGGATAGGAAGTAAAATTTATAGTGAAGATATGTTTTTACCTGAATTAAATTTACAGTGGGGAAAGAATAAGTTTACTCTCCTTGGAATAGAATTTAGTGTTAACCTGCATGAGATCCTCAAATTGAACTTTGATAAGAAAATAATTAAACTAAAATCACTAATTAAAACATGGAGTAGAAGAGTACTTACTCCAATAGGGAGAATTCAGCTAATTAAATCTCTGTTGTTACCTCAATTTACTCATTTATTTATCTCTTTACCAAATCCAGACAATCAATTTTTGATTAGGTTAAATAAAATGCTTTTTCAATTCTTGTGGAATGGGAGTTCTGATAAAGTTAAGAGGGATATCATAACCCAAGAATATTACAGAGGGGGTCTCAAAATGGTAAATATAAGATCCTTTATAGATTCGCTTAAGCTAAGTTGGTTAAGGAGGCTGTATCAAAAGTCTGGAAAGTGGCAAATCATTTTAAATACATATTGACCTACATAAGCTTTCAAACTGTGGTAATGAGTATATTAAACTAGGTCAAAATAATTGTAAAAATGATTTCTGGAAGGATGTCTTTCTGGCATGGACAAGATTCAATAGTTTAAGTGGTGTAAAGCAAGCATGGGAAAAGTTCATCTTTAAAGCTCCATTATGGTACAATGAGAGTCTAACTATTGGGGGGAAAACTATATTTTATAAGGAATGGTATAAAAAGGGGGTTATTGTTGTGAATGATTTAATAAAAGACAGTGATACTCTCACTTTCTATACTTTTGAGGAATTTATCCACTTATATCAAATAAACACAGATTTTCTTACATACCGTGGTATCTTATCTTCTATAAAATCATATTTAGGTCAAGTTGATCTTGAAAATACTAGGGCAGTTTCAATTGAATATCCTTTTATACCCATCAATGTTAATTTTTCATAAAAAAGATAAAAGGGTCTAAAGATTTGTATAATCTTATGATTAAAAACGATATTATTCCCTCTGGTAGAAAAAAATGGGAGGATGAGATCCAATTAAATAATTTACAATGGGAAGAAATCTACAAAATTCCTTTTAAAGTAACTAAAAATACAAAACTCCAATGGTTTCAATATAGATTAGTCCATCACATTCTGACAACGAACTCCTTTATCTACAGATTAGGTTTAGTTGCCAGTCCACTCTGTCCCTTATGCAATATAGAAAAGGAAACCATAATCCACATCATGTGGGAAGTACAAATTTTTTTACAAAGTCTTGAAGTACTTCTAGAAGCACTTGTTATTCCTTTTGCTTATAATAAAGAAAAAATTCTCTTTGGATTTTCATTACAACATCAAATGCTTACATCAGCAAAAATTGACAATGTAATACTAATAATTATTAAGAATTATATCTATAAGACTAGATGCTATCATAGAAGATTAAACATTAATGCATTTGTAAATTATATCAAAGAATACTACTCTGTTCAGAAATATATAGCAAATAGTCAAGGGGACTCCAAAAAGGTCAGATTTGAAAATGAATGGAGAAAATGGAAGTCTTTGATAGAAATTGCATAATAATTTGTGCAGGTAAATATACTTCACTGTAAAATGAAAACCCTTAATAATGTATGATTTATGATATGTCTATCGTTGTATGAGTACTTTCAGATATAATGTATGTAAACATTTTACAATCTGCACTAGGATAACTTGATTATGCTGAAAAATTGCATGCATTATATAGACCGATGTAGTTTCATAATACTGTGTAGTATCAATACTGTAGTCTTCCCTCAGTTGGCTTTGCTCTGTGATGCTGTATAATAACATTATAATTACTAGGCCAATATAGTATATATATTATATATGGTATATATATATATATATATATTTTTTTGCCCCTTTCTCTTTCAATCATACTCATAGTTTTCATATACCTACATCATAAAGCTTTACTCATACATGTATATATAAATGTTACTTGATGAACCATTCAATAGTATGTGTACTTAATACTACTTAATGATACTATCTTAGTATTCATGATAAAATCTTAACCAGCTAAATATTTCTCCAGGACTAGCAGACTTTACAAAGAATAAAATGACCTTTCATTGTGTATTTTAGATTTTCAATATACTCATATATAATTTTTCTCTCTTCCACTAGCCCTCTGTCTTGTTCCTTGCTTGTCTCTTTTTATCTCTGCTATTTTCCTCTAAAGTGTGTGAGGGTTTCAAAATGTAAGTGAAAAAGATTAGAAATTGTTGGTGAGTGAGATACATAGATGTGATATGAATGTTTAGCCCACTATCACCCACTCTTTTCTTCTCTTTCTTTTTCTCTGTCTCTCTATGTGGAAGGAAAGTGTGTGTGTGTGTGTGTGTGTAATAAAGATGACAAAGGCATGTGTTTTGTTGTGTATATAGAAATGGTAATTGGTTTTTGTAAACCATATTTTCTTAATTATATATCTATGGCTAATCCTGATTGCAATATTCTAATGCTGATGGCAACTATGAAGATAAGAATGTTGTGTAAACTAGGATATTATCTACAATATACTTAAGTTATTGATTCACAAATAGTTGCAATCCTATACAAGTATGGAAGTTTCTGTGTGTGGAGTGTGTGTATTCTTATGTGATGTTAACTATACTTGTAAAAAATGCTTAAAAATAAAAAATTACAAAAAAAGAATTGTTGAATGTGGATGATGATGATGCATTATTTAGTATGTACAATAATCATGATAGTAATATTGATTGTGATATATATGTTGAAATGGATGATGAGGAAGATTATCATGTTTTTGAGGATGATGATGATGATGATGATGATGATGATGCATTATTTAGTGTGTAACATAATAATATTGATTGTGATATATGAGGATTATCATGTATGGTGATATTAATAATAATAATAATCACATGCATTGTTGAATGTTGATGATGATGTTGATGATTCTTTTGAATGGAGTGTTCTTGTTTGACACGCAATGACTATATGTGCACCTGTGTTTGGATGTGTGAGAGGGTGTGAGTGTATTTGTCCTGTTCAACATGTAAAATCTTGAAAAATAAAAAATTATAAAAAAAAATTGTTGTATTCATAAACTTTTTTTTTCTCAAAATAATACATTATTACTGGTAATCTTTTCAAGATAAAGAGTAATGACGAAAGCTCCATCATTTTGGATTGATTAGCTGTTTACAACAGAAATATCACCCTGTACTATATAACACTTACAAATCGAAACATGGAGGAAATCAGATAGTATTAAATCTAAGCAAATTTTCCGAATAACTGGCGTAATTTTAATCTATTAGTATTATTTTTGTTACGAAAATGAGATTCACTTTTCACTTGCCGAAAAAAATGGCCCTGACCATATCGGTCAGCATTGAAGTGAATGGGGCTTAGGCAAGTCAAGTTTGATAATAACCTAGAAAAGGGGGATGGGGGCTTCATGGTTCAGTAAAGCCAGAGATGTTTCCACTGGGCCCAATTTCTTTCCTCTTTCATACATTCCCAGACTGGGTCTATAGCAAGTTCGGGAGTGATACACTGTAGATAACGATTTAAGATGTAAATAATTCATTGTATTTTTGGAGGGGGTTCTCATCACAAATAGTCAAATTGATGAAAACACTATATTGTGTAATACATTATAAATGATCGAATACGGATCAAAATTAAACTTTTTAACGGTTCTTGTATCTTTAATATTATTTTGGGCAAACGTTTAGTTGATCAAGAATAAAAAATACGTGTCCTCCCAATGCGCATGTGTGACATGTCACTTCCTTTCATCGCAACCATGGCCGGCAAAGCAGTAGTCTGTAGCATTTTTGCTGTTCTAGTTTCCATTTCTACCGTATCAGGCTTATATTTCCACATAGGAGAAACAGAGAAAAAATGTTTTATTGAAGAAATTCCAGATGAAACTATGGTCGTGGGTAAGGACATCTCAACAAATGTAAAAACTGGCACCCAATTTATGCCACCTGTCAACGTTACATCGTTGACGTTGATGTGTTCGTCTGCTGCGTTTATCTGCAGCGTGTTTAATATCCCGATTGTAATAACTAGTTCCTACTTTATCCGTGAGGTTTATCTTACTACAGATTTGTTATTATGCTGTTATGCTCTGGGTTTTGGAAATTCATCTAGACAATGACTACCATGATAATATAGCCAACCTGTCCGAAATTGTTTTGAGTAGTTAAAACTTGTAAACTTTTGCAACAGAGTTTCTGAAAAGTCTGCTATATTATTAACATGATGAAATATCCCATTAACTGAAGTACAGTGAAACTGTGCACCTAAAAGCCATGAATCGAATATTGCGGATTGTCGGAACAGCAAGAATAGATGGAACATTTTGATTTTAAAAATGATACCAAACGCGATATTGTTGTAGGTCTTAACCAGTTAGTAAGATGAAACATGAAAACATAATTTTGACGCAGAGAAAAAAGTAGGAGAGCCTACAAAAGAAAATTTGTAATCAAGGCAGATATAATTTTTCTTTAAATTCTGAATTAAAAGAAATTTAAATACTTAGAAGTGAAAAGTGAATGGTTTCTAAAAATGACTGATCATCCAGCCACCTGGATGTGTTAATTCTTGCATAATAGAATTAGCAATAAATACATATCCATCATAGGGACACATATGATGCAATTATTGATTATTGAATTTCTATCAGCATTCCATAATTGGGCTCTAGACCATGTTTTTTTGTTTTTGTTTTTTTTTCTCCTCCAGATAGAATACCAAGCAAATGTGGTCTGTGTGATCCTGCACTTATAATAACTTTATTTGCACAAAAGTAGGCTACAGAGATGTGGGGGAAACCTAAATATAAGTCAAATTCAAACCTTTGTTAATTACCATTTGTATTTGGGGATTGTAAGTCTGTGCTTCTTTCTGACTTGACACATGTATATGTGTAATATGTAGACTGACCACCACAGCAACCTCCAGCTGTAAACCTTCATTGTATAATTATAATTCCCTAGACTTGAGTTGGGTGTTGGCCAGGTGAAACACCCAATTTAAACTTACTGATTAATTCCCTGCACCAAGTAGGCACTCTACACCCACAAAGTGTTCCAGTACCACAATACCTGATGCATACTGTAACTGAACTTTGAGCTACAAATGAACAATTTGAATTTATAAAAAACATACTAACAAACAATAGATTGCTTATAACACCTGTCTGACACAGGCAAATCAGTTGTTGTTTAACTAACTTATTTAGTTGTTAAATACTACCCACTGCTCCACAGAGCTGGTTCAAAACAACGATCTGTGTCAGAAACAATAAATCAAAGAACTACCAACTCACTGTTTAATACAGTGGCAATGGTAGGTCAATTTTCTTTATTAACATTTTAGATGAGCATGACAGATTTGTCAACAGTTGTGAATAGGTCAGACAACTGACCTGAATCTGACATCGTTCTTTGAGTAAAAAAAATTCAAAAATAAATATTCTAAATGATATAAATCAGGATATTGAAATGAAGGGTTATTGATTAATTAATAGTAGGTTGTTGATTTATAAGTAGGATGCATTTTAAATTTGTTGTTTCAGGCCATTACAAAGTTGAGATTCTAGACAACAATATAAATGACTATGTTCCAACTGTATATGGATTAGGAATGCACGTAGAGATCAGAGATCCTGAAGATAAAGTTGTGATGTCGAGGGTAAGCGGTTTGGACCCAAAGTCTTAGGTTTAGTATTCTTGCTGCAAATTCAGGAATATTTGTTAAATGTCTCATTAGCAATTGATGAATAAGGTCACATTGTTTATAAATCATTGATGATACTCATGTACTAAATTACTAAATCTTGTAGTAACCTAAAAGATATGATATATGTTGTTCAGGTATATATTTTTTGTCATCAAAAGATGACAACGTGGTCCAATCCTCTCCAATTCAGATTTTATTCACCGTTATATGTAACTCACCCCCCTGCTTTGATTTATAAAGCTAGTCAGACCTTGACAAATACCCTTGAAGAGCAGCATGTAATACTATAAACAAACATACAAGCTCATAAGCTTGATGTAGAGATGAAGAATCATTTCAAAGCCAAAATATTGAATTTATTTCCAGGTAACTACAAAGTACAAGTGTATGATTATACTGTGAAAGACTACATGCCCAGTGCCCCAGGGTTGGGGATGTTTGTTGAGGTCAGAGACCCAAACCATGAAATAGTGTTATCGAGGGTGAGTTCTGCTGTAATTTCAGCAAAACATATGGAGACCATAACTGCTTTTTTTTCTTTCTTGTTTGTAATAGGAGTTTTACTACTTTGCATGTATACCCCCCCCCCCCCCCCCCGCCCTACTTTTTAACATCTTTAATATGATGGATAATGAATAACTGATATGTAGCAAAGTTCTGTGAATTTATGCTGATAATTAACATTATCATACAGTGCATGTACATTATTACAAATGAAGGATTAGAATCATTATTTTACTTACTTTTAAATGCATCGTTTATTGAGGAAATCTTTCAAAAGTAAATTATACATAAAACCATTGAAAACAAGACATAATAGATCCCAGTACAAATTTTTGAATGTTTGAGTTATCATTTGATTGATCAATTTGTAATATTTAAACCATGGACATGTATATAAAATGTAACAGTCTTAGAAGTCATAGACTATAGGTGTTGTTTTTTTCTCTGTTCTTATTTTCAATTTATTGTTTCTGGATTAGCAGACTTATTGTTATGTACATGGATACTAGATATAGTTGGATCAATTTGTGATGGTTAGCTAATGAATGAATCAATGCATGCTTTGTAAATAATGTACCGGTATGTATATATTTACTTACATAAATAATTTATCTACATACAGTCATCTTTTCTCTTTGATAGATAATATTTTAAAGATTTCTTGAAATTTAATTTTATTTATTGACCTAATTTTTTTCACCAATGAGAAAGTATGAATTTAATTTTTGTATTTGCATGTGCTAGCTAGTTTCATGCTACTTGTTGTAATACAGTTACATGTACCCTGAACATGTACTAATGTATATACAAGCATATTGAAACATTTTTTTCTGTTTTTATTTTTTACGTTTCTGGTCTCCATATGGCATTGTGAAATACAGTGTAATTTTAGAAGTATCAAAGTGATCCTTTTTTGTGGTCCACTCGGTTTTTTTTCTGGGTGGTTGGTTTATCATTTCAATACTGGCATACATGTATATTTCCTTGCTGCTCTTTCAGATGTTTATTTTTGTTTGATTTATGTTTCATTGCAATTTTTTGTTGTAGACCTGTCTGATTTCAAAGAACTTCTGTAAATTAATAATTGCTTTTAATGCATGATTTTCAGGAAAATGATAACATTTTTTTCAGATGACCATGTCCATAAACAGTTAACATTAGCATTATCTTGTCAAAAAGTTTTAGCATTTGGCTAATGAATGTGTTGGAATCTGTAAACATGTAATAGTTTCATTAACTCAATTCCTTACCTTTTGATACCTTAGATTAAAATTCATATTTAGAGGAAATTGAATAATATATATATTGCAGTTGCAGAAGTGCAATTTCATTAAGTTTATAAATTCCATAAACTTAGTATGTATAGAAATAAGTGTTTGAATGAAAAGAGTACTTTAATTTTTTTTTTTTCGTTTTGTAATGTGAATTGAACTTCCAAAAGATGACTAAAAACATCACTGGAATAACATTTCAAATCATCGCTATTATTTTTGTTTCTAACTACCAATATTGATTCAGTACTGTTACCATGGGTCTGTCTACTGATATGTCCTGGACTTTATAGTGAAGGACAAGAATATAAGTCTATAATACTGTATTGTGCACAAGTTTTTATTGTTTTAAAAGATTCTACTTGTACAAACTCCAAAAAAAGAAAAAAATAGAAGCAGTTTAGAAAAGAGATTGTTTAATCATGATTTATGGAAAATAGGTAACTATATAGTATCATTGAAACTTTGATTCTGATGTATCTTTTCAGACTTATGCTGCTGAAGGACGTTTCACATTTACATCTCACCTTGCTGGAGAGCATGTGGTTTGTCTTCACTCCAACTCAACAGCGTGGTTCTCCAGTGGTCAACTGGTAGGAATAAACTACTCAGCTCATCTGTGTTTGCTTGATTTTCATACAACAAGTTCATGAAGAGTTCAAAATTTTGTCCAAGCTATTTGAAAATACAAGGCAAAGTACTTATGTATGGTATGCATTTGTATTGATATATAAATTATGTGTATAGTAATCCTTGGATCTTCTTTAAACAGAGAGTACATCTTGACATACAAGTCGGAGAGCATGCTGTGGATTACTCTCAGATCCAAGCCAAGGACAAACTTTCTGAGCTCCAACTAAGAATCCGTCAGCTTCTAGACCAGGTAGAACAGATCACAAAGGAACAGAACTACCAGAGGGTGAGTAACAAGATGGCTAAAGTATGACACATCTGAAACCATTGTAAAGGTGTACATAGGACAAACATTCTTGTATTGAATATGATCTGTGGATCAACCTTTCCCATGGAAGACCATTTTGGTATTTTCCAATAAGTCTGCAAATGCTGTGAATATCTATATTCCTAATTATTTCCCCCCAAATGAAATGGGTAGGGGGAGGGGTTAGTGGAGAAGGCGTATTTCTTCTTCTTCTTTTTCTTTTTGATGAAAATTTACTTATCAGTGTATTTGAAATTTGATTAATATATGATATACATTTTTTATATATAACGTATGGCAACAATTTTGGTAAATACCTTATTTCCGGGGTTTTGTATAAGCAGCAGAACCAATTAATAACAATTTTTTCTTTTTGATCCACATATTAGCTGCATCAGAATAAAAGTCACACCCTTTCTTAAGATGTGGTTATGTTGACCAAAGATTGTTGATATAACAGACAACAGAAAGCAATTAATCAAGATTGTCAGTGAAACATTTAGTTTTATAGTAAACTTAATAGTCTTGACAGGAGGAGGTTAATAAATGAAAAACATATTTGAAAAAAAAAAAAAGTATGTCGCTGAGCTTTGAGCAATAATGGAGATAGTGCACGGATCAGTTGGTATATCATCACTAAGAGCATAAACATGAAAATTCAGGTTAATTTACAAATACTTATTTAACTTTCTTCTGTTGTCAAGGTTTCTAACACATTTCTCAAAATGATTGGATGAAATTTAATGAAACTTTACATGAGCGTTCTTTTATGAGAGGCAGTGTGCAAGAGCTTTTTCATTTTTCATTAGGTCAACTGACCAGTCAAAATGTCGTCTGAGAAATTTTGCCAAAATTTAGATAATGGTGACATTTGTTTTTCAGTTTGAACAACATGGCCACCACATAGTGGCTGATTTGTTGAAATTCAGATATCATCTGATTTCCATGAAAATTGATAGATAGGGGCAGTTTTACAACAGAAATAATGGTGACATTCATTTTTCAATTGGACAAGATGGCTGCCACATGGTGGCTTCTGATTGGTTGAAATTTAGATGTCCAGTTTTCCAGCAAATTGGTGTATAGGTATTATTTGATAACAGTAACACATTGATAGAACACTCCATTTTCTGATTTATCAATGAAAAGTGTTACATAGGTGTTGTTTGACATGATAAAGACAATGATGAGGTTATTCTTATTGGACTAAATGTCTGCCTCACACAGATGACTAATGTGGTGAAATTCAACACATCACATTCCTATCAATCTTGATTTATATAATGAATGCTTTGTACATCAATTATCACTGAGGGGTGTTTGAGGGACATATATAATAGTCCCTGTTATAAGTAGTACTTGTTCTTTGAAGATGTAAATGTTGTAATATCAAGGTACTCTGTTTATAATTATGATAAATCATAACTGAATGTTCCTTTCATAGTTGCCATAGTACTTTTTAAAGATTTATCAAAAACTCTGCTTCTTTTCAGTATCGAGAGGAACGATTCAGACAGACAAGTGAGAGCACTAATCAGAGGGTATTGTGGTGGTCTATTGCTCAGACTCTGATCCTTCTCCTTACTGGTTTCTGGCAAATGAGACATCTCAAGAGCTTCTTTGAGGCCAAGAAGTTGGTATAGGCCATAGCATCATCTTAAGGCAGCAAACTGGCTGTAAATCAGGAAGTAGTGGATCTTTTCCTCAACAGTGTTACTTTAAAGGGATTTGGGCAATTTTTTGGACAAACTACCACATCTTTCCTGGCTTGCCAGTAGTGTGCATTTCCTCATATCATTGAGGATAGAACTGCAATCGAGACCATTAACAAGATAGTCTTTATCTGGTAAACAGTTGTTTCTGGTGGTTTATATTTTGGCTTTATTCATTTCCTGTAGTTTACATTTTCTTGCTTAAAAAAACTAAACAAAAATAATGTAAATGATATTGACATGCATGTCGGTTTCAAAATTTACAAATTGAAAACAGATTAATATTTTAATAGATTAATATTTGATTGATATCTTTAAAAAGATATTAAAAAAAACACATTAAGACTGTTAATTCCTGATTTACAGCTTGTTAAAAGTATTTCGTATATGTATCTTATAAGAACAAGAACATGTGATAAATATATGTTAACATTTGACTTTGGGGTGGTTACATTAAGGTTAGGAATGAGAAATAATGTAAAATCCATAATTGATTATCGGTTAAAATCAGATAGTCATTTCGATGTAATTAATCAATATCAGGATTTTCCCTGATACCCGCTTCAGATCATTGTATAATATAAGGTTAAACTATTAATCTATTATATCTGATCATTGTCCCATCACTATTCAAGATTTTTAACTATTGTTTGAAATAAACATTATATCGGGTAGAGCTACATCTGGTATTTCATTGATTTTTAACTATTGTTTGAAATAAACATTACATCAGGTAAAGCTACATCTGGTATTTCTTTGAATATAGTTCAAACAGTCTGAATAAGTGCACTTTTTCTAAACATCCATGAGAAAGATTAATGAAGATATTGTTTAATTATTTAGAAGTGTTTATATTATCTTCTATGTTAGTTTTTCTCTTTATGTACCAATTTAGATGAACATTACATACATACTATGTAGTAAGGGGCAATTTGGAATTCGGTAATCTCCCCCCTAAAAAACTGAGGAAAGAAATAACATGTTTTCTACATACCAGTTACATTACATAAATCACTGCTGAAGCGTATCAAAGATAACAGTATACACATTATCAGTGATGCAGAAGGCTAGACCATCAACAGGTTATTTTCTTCTCACACTTGGCCAGACATATAATGGGCCATGGCCTTCCTAAGCCCCGATATATTTAGAAATTTGACTTTTGTGGGAAATTGGTATTTGAGTATAAATTAGCCCTTGTATTATATCCTCAATTTTCCCCTTGATAAATATCTTAAGAATGTTTGAATGAAGTGCTTTTAAAAATAAATTGGTATTGCTTTACCAAAGTTGAGCTATGATTTTTGATAGTTTCTGAAAATTTTATTTGATGCGAGAAAGAAGTGTGATTTTTGTTGTGAGGATGAGATGATTAGGTCATATGATTGTACTGGTATGTGAGAACATCCTAATTACTGCCTATTGGTTGATCAGTTAGGTTTGAAAGTCAGAGTTATATTAGGTAAGGCTGCCTTATATAATTTAACTGTATGATACTTGTACATGTTTGTTTTCATAAGGATGAATGAAACTATTTCTCATGGCGCTCAATAGAATGTTTGTGTTGATGAATACTTTTTCCTATTCATTTCATCAAAATCATGAATATTACGAGGACGTCTGAAATTGTGTAAGAGTGATTTATCATTATCTGCTACATAGGTACGGTATTTATTTGACCAAATAAATTCTTCATATTTTTCACTACTTGTAGTTTATATAAATACAAAGGGATATTCTGCACAAATTAGGATTTCATCACAAGAAAATTGTACTTATGTTCTTCATTTTTAAATAAACACAATTTTTCCTTCATGGAAATTCTTTATTGATCTAGCTAGCTCGATTTACAAATGTTTGTGTGACCCTGATCGTGTTATCACAAGTTTGCATTGTTATTAGTGGAATGGAAGGAAATTTTTGTGTATATTATGCAATCAACATAAAATAATCCTTTTGAAGTAATAAAATTGTAACCACAGGAGAAATTTTAGTGAACAGCGAACTTACTTGTGTATTTACCCAATACTCTGTATAAAATCAGATGCATTGTAGTATATTTTGTTGGTTAAATTAAGATTTAAATGTCATTAAAATGAGTTCTAAGAGGTACAGAACAGCTAGGAATTTTGTAACTTGACCAGGATATCCCTTTAAGCTTGAATTTATTAGAGTGCAGTTAGTTTGTAACTTTACTTGTGTTTTGAAAAACTTCATACAGCTTTTCTTGCAAGAAGTCAGTATCTAACACTTTTTCCAAAGTGTTTGAATGTTGTACTGTGTAAAAGGTGAAGGTACATTTACATAGAGGTTTTCAAAAGAATTTCTTCATTTATCATCACTCTGGAAATATCACATACTGTTATGGTTAGGATGTAATGAAATAATATGCTTGCTCTGGTAATATATTCTATAAATTCTGTATCAGCACATATGATATGTACAGTTCATGCAGTGCAGTTCCTGTCCCCTTTGTTTTAGGAACATTATTGCTTCTGGCATCACAAAGTCACATTTTGCCCTGTAATTTTGATTGTAGTTACTTGTATAAGAATCACTTTATGTTGTGTTGTACCATCCTATAGTTTTTATCAGTCAGGTCATACTAGTAACAACAGGATTTATAGGGGCATTAAACATACATATGTATCTTCTGATGGGAATTTGTACTTAATGCTTGACAACTAATTCCATCTTACTTGATATTTATTATCATAACTTGCTATCTACTCCTGTTTTGTTTAGTTTGGTCAAGTCTATTTGGTGCCATGATGCTATATTTAACATTTATTGCTAACCTATTTCCATCATGTAATTTGCTTTGAAAGTTCTGTGTAGATGAAGATGTATTTCTGTTAATGCAATTGTAGAAAATAGTTTTTTTCTTCATATAATATTTGCTCTATGCTGTTGCGAATCATTTTAACTCAGAAATAATAGATGTAGAAAAAGTAACCTACAGTGTGGAATGTTATACCAGTCAGTGTGATTATCATGATAAATCAGTTATTTTTCCAGCATTTCAATGATAGTCTCCCTCTCCTTATAGTTGGTGTCATTTTCTTTAGTGTTTCCTTGTTACACTTTTATTTATTGTGGCTGAAAATGTACTGGTGAGGAAGTGTAAAATCAGAATAAATTGTAAATAACCATTGATGTTTTGAACTTTGTCATTACTAAATATGGCTGGTCTTACAATAGCCAGTACTTACATCCAATCTTAATTTAAAGGTCATTGACTGAAATCCACCTTTAAAATAGACATTTCATCTTGAATCTTATTGAAGATTCTTTTAACACGTATGGAGTTGGCATGACTGAAGACAATGTTCCACACACATTTCTTTTGTCAAATCCGTGGAATCAAACCGTGACATACACCTATCTTTTGTCAAATCCGTGGAATCAAACCGTGACATACACCTATCTTTTTGTCAAATTCGTGGAATCAATCAGTGATATACTCGAATCTATTGCCAATCACATGTAATCACAAAGTGACCTGCACGTATCTATTGTCAAAAGTTGAAAAATGTTGTGATGTAGTGACATATCCAGTGACAGTTGAATGTTGTGATGTAGTGACGTATCCAGTGACAGTTGAATGTTGTGATGTAGTGACGTATCCAGTGACAGTAGAATGTTGTGATGTAGTGACGTATCCAGTGACAGTTGAATGTTGTGATGTAGTGACGTATCCAGTGACAGTAGAATGTTGTGATGTAGTGACGTATCCAGTAACTGTTGATTGTTGTGATGTTGTAGTGACGTATCCAGTGACAGTTGAATGTTGTGATGTAGTGACGTATCCAGTGACAGTAGAATGTTGTGATGTTGTAGTGACGTATCCAGTGACTGTTGAATGTTGTGATGTAGTGACGTATCCAGTGACAGTAGATTGTTGTGATGTTGTAGTGACGTATCCAGTGACTGTTGATTGTTGTGATGTTGTAGTGACGTATCCAGTGACAGTTGATTGTTGTGATGTTGTAGTGACGTATCCAGTGACAGTTGAATGTTGTGATGTAGTGACGTATACAGTAACAGTAGAATGTTGTGATGTTGTAGTGACGTATCCAGTGACAGTTGAATGTTGTGATGTAGTGACGTATCCAGTAACTGTTGATTGTTGTGATGTTGTAGTGACGTATCCAGTGACAGTTGAATGTTGTGATGTAGTGACGTATCCAGTGACAGTAGATTGTTGTGATGTTGTAGTGACGTATCCAGTGACAGTAGATTGTTGTGATGTTGTAGTGACGTATCCAGTGACTGTTGATTGTTGTGATGTTGTAGTGACGTATCCAGTGACAGTTGAATGTTGTGATGTAGTGACGTATACAGTAACAGTAGAATGTTGTGATGTTGTAGTGACGTATCCAGTGACAAGCGAATGTTGTGATGTTGTAGTGATGTATGCAGTGACGGGCGAATGTTGTGATGTTGTAGTGACGTATCCAGTGACAAGCGAATGTTGTGATGTTGTAGTGATGTATGCAGTGACGGGCGAATGTTGTGATGTTGTAGTGACGTATCCAGTGACAAGCGAATGTTGTGATGTTTTAGTGACGTATCCAGTGACAGTTGAATATTGTGATGTAGTGACGTATCCAGCGAGAGTCGAATGTTTTGATGTTATAGTGACGCATCCAGTGACAGGCGAATGTTTTGATGTTGTAGTGACGTATTCAGTGACAGGCGAATGTTTTGATGTTGTAGTGATATAAATTACTGGCAGACGAATGTTATATATATTCTAGAGTGATATATGCAGTGAAAGTAAAATATTATTATATTGGAATGAAGCACAACCATAGTGATATGTTTCAACTGTAATAAAGTAGTGTCAATATTCGCTGGCTTCAGACGGAAACGCTATCTCGTAATACATGTCACTATGAGACACAATATACATTGTATTTTGTCAACTTTTTATTTTTATCATTCTATACGTAGACTAGGTACTTGGTTTCACCACAGGTTCGACCTGTTTTAATTGTATCCCTGTATAAACCCCAACATCGCGATAATCTTGACACTGAAGAAACGGAATCAGCTAATGTTACCAAAGTACTACATTGTACAACAAGTCTTTTCCCTTCGTGGTTTCTACAACACTTTCGCTGTAAAGATTCACTACGTTTTGTAGATGTGCTTTACTGATATTTATATTCGCTCATCTTGTTTTGTTTGGCTGAAATTGCTTCACCAAGACTAAACGATAATGAATTCTAAACATCTAAGCACACAACACACATCTTCCCGTTTGGCCCCAACCCTCTGTTCCTACGTGGTCAGCCAAACAATTCATGCTTCTGACCAAATCGAGACAGAATCCTCACATTCCTATTAAAAAGGACCCCCTATAAAGGGTCATACTCCTCTTGCCCCAGGGGATCGAGCCCTCCGTGTATTAAAATGAATTCCATTAATGTAAGAATGTTTCTGACCAAATTTGAGGAAATTCAAATCATTCCTACGTGAGGCTTATATAAATCTATAAAAAAAGTGATTCCTTTTCACCCGATGACGTCTCAGACCAAATTTGGGCAAAGTCCTTCATGCGCAACGATTATTTCAGAAAAATGTTATTGACAAAAAACAGACGAAAGACGACGCGGTATTGGCATAAGCTCACCGGTCCTTCGTACTTAATGGAGTTAGCTTGACCTTAATTATGATGACGATAACAGTTTGCTCACTCCAGCTGCGGAACTTAAACATTAAAGTTGAACTTCAGTCGCATTCTCCTTCGAGAGTGAGCATGAGAAAGATAGTGAATCACAATGGTTATTGATTACAACGTATCATCGTGTCGTTGTCATTGTGACGTCAAACGTCATGATGTACCATGAATATGACGTCACAAACATAATTTGAAATTGACGTGAAATCATTTTATGCAGGTGTTCGAAAAGATAGTTGTGAAGACTTACAAGGTATGTATTTGAAGTTTTGAATTCTACGGAGCATGTCCATTTTTAATCACGCATTGCTTAAATCAGCGTTGAAATAATTTAAACCAGTCATCATTCAGTTGAATATAAAACCAAAGCCTAATTTGCTTTGAACAAATGATGCACATCATCTTGCATATATGATTTTATTTGCCCTTCAAAGATTTTTGTTCTTTCTGGTTTTAAGAATGGAGCATGTTTTGGGAAGGAGAAATGCAATTCCTGGCAGTGTCAGTCCAGAAAAGGTAAAGGAAAAAGTGCGCCGTCCAAGGCGAGCTCTTCCAAATATAAGCCACACTGCTGACGTCACCAATGATGAAATCCAAATGATGAAGTTGGCTGCTCAGACGTGTCGTGAAATAAATGCTAGGGCCAAAGATACTAGTGAAAGCCAAGAAACCAAGAAACATTCAAGTAGTAATAGGAAGACCAGTAAAGCTATTCTAAACACATATGCCAACGATGCGTTCTTCGTGAAGACAACTAACCGACAGGATTATGGTGGCTCTTTGGCCATTGCACGTAATCTCGTGCACGTGCCTACGACAATGTGCCCGGACGTCGATAAGCACGTTGAAAGGGTTTACAAACTAAGACATACACTTCCACTTGCCTGCCCAACGTGTTGGAGTCTCCAAAGAAACTACGTATGACTGAGAAAAATATCAACGATTACCTTATTTCATTAAAAAATCCATCAATTTCCAATATGAAAGTAATTATGTAATTGATATGCGATTTGAATATATCAAAGGAAGGGGAAAATATGATCACGGTACATTTTCATCGTTGAGAAAAATGCTTTGGCAAGAATTAGCGGTATCATGGCCGCTTGAATTCTATTGCTGGTACATGTGTATAATTCTTTCAGCTGTGAACTGTCTTGTTGGCATTTATGGTCGGTGTAAATGCAAGAGCGTTTGTCATAGCAAGACCGAGTTCAGAGCGTATATCTTAATCCCATATACTTTTTTCTAATGTCATTCATAAATTGATTTACATTACAATGGTTAGCAGAGTTTAACCAGTCAAGTGGAACGATTTCGATTACGTCACTAAGTCCACAGAACATGGTTCCTAGATGGAAATGTATCAAATTTGACGAAACGTTATCTAAACAGACTTTGAAGCCAGCCCGATTACACTGTACCATGAGATCTCGTCTTTCACGAACTAGTTTTCAGACGTCCTACACTGAACAATGGTTCATGTTGTCCATGTAGCACACATAATTTTCGATCATGCACCACACTAATCTTAACACAAGAATCTGAAGCAAGTCACTGAAGCATACACTATCGGTTAAATTTAGCATCTGCAATAATATTCAATACACTTTTGTATAACATATTTTCAACACAAACATTTCTCACGGACTACACACGTTCTTGCGCAGCTGAGAAAAAGTTGCTGGTGAGATGACAACAGACACTACTCAAGCTTTATAATGTCTCTTTAAGTGAAAGAAGATATAAAACTAACAAAAAGTAGGTAATCCATTTCAATTTTAATGCAACTGTCATTCACCATGACGAATGAGCATGACATACAACATGTAATGAACAGTCACTCCTAATCAATGCTGTTTATGCCTGGGTTTACCACGGACTCCAAACAAGCACACACACTGGTCGGTGTTTAAATACATCACATGTCAGAACAATGACAACAACAACTACAACTCAACAATGCTGATAATGACAACCAAATAATGGTGACACTGATATTGATGAAGATGATGGATGACAATGATGAACACGAACGTTTAGCTCCTTTGTGTTTAAATTTAACATTTATCTATAGTGAAATGTTCTATTTTTTTGTTCTTGTTTTGCTCCAAATTACAATGAACTAATTCACTTTTAATAAGCCAGTGATTTTTCTGCTTGTATCTAAACCAACTAGAAATAAAAAACAGACTTCCCATATCACTAGTATGTGACATTAATCCTGATCTTGAATACAATTCCTCCTAATCTTTAGAGTTTGATGAATATACAGAGGTTAATTTAAAAAGTCGTAGTCACTTAATCGCATCCTTCAAAAAACACGCTGTAGTCACTTAATCGCATCCTTCAAAAAACACGCTGTAGTCACTTGATCACGTCCTTCAAAAAACACATCTTTTTCCTTGTGATCCTTTTTCTATTCAAAACTTATATGTTGGTACTGATCACAAACAACACTGACTACCGATAGGTGTTGATGACAAATGACCTTAACATTTAGTCTTGTAACTACTGGTAAGTAATATCTGTCTGTTAGTTTCCTTCTTGGTACTGTTTTGTTTGCATCTTTGCAATGATCCTCTCTAATTGTCGCCGAGCTTCACACTGAGGGAAGTTTTCCATATCATAATACTGAGGAGCCACTGCTACCAGCCTGCAACACAAGTGAGAAATCTCTGTGACATCTGATTAAATACAGGAAACATATCTAACAATCTATTTTCTATAAATATAAACCAAGTATTCAGGAAGGTTTAGAAATTAAAGGTCAGGCCCCACTTGTATAAAACATCTCAACTTGAGATTTCCTCAAGTCGAGATCTTCCTCAGCTGGTATCTCCTCAAAAACGGCCTGTATAAAATTTTCTCAAGGAACAGGAGGAAGTCATCGGCTAGGATGTCCTGAAATTCCTTGAGGAATTTTCATACAAGATATTTTCGAGGAGATATTAGCTGAGGAAAATCTCGACTTGAGGAAATCTCAAGTTGAGATGTTTTATACAAGTGGGGCCAGGTGTCACAACATCTGAGGGCGTGGTAGAGGTTCTAAAGGTCAGTGTGGTGTACAAGATCTATAAGAATTTTTCAGTAAATTAACCCCGTAATATTTTCATTACATGAGGTACTCATCTTACTGCTTCTTCACTTTGTTTAGAAGTAGCAATACAATAATTTATTTGTCTTTGTTCGTATGCAAAATGCCTAATTTCTGGTTCATCAATTTTTCCTTTTAATTTCTTGATGGAAAAAAACAAGTGTATCTCCCCCTACTTTATATTGATTGGAAGAGTCAATGGCAACATGCCACCTTATGGTGTTTCTGTTAGGACTTCTTTGTATGCATTACAAATCTGTTTACATTCACCTGGTGTGTGGATCGCAGTCATTCATTGATGTAAACAAATAATGGTCTACACTATCGAAAAATATCCAAATACCTTACTATAAACAATGAATAATTAACAATTTTTTTTTTTACTTCAACACATTGCTGTTAGGAATGTGATGGGCCCACTCATGAATGAATTTTGAAGTACGTCATATCATGTCACGTCACGTCACACCAGCTGTTATGCAGTAATTTGTTATAAAATAATTCTTCGTGAAATTATAAAAAATCAAGACTTTCCCCAACAACAGGTACATACCAGTCAGGTTTGACATCAGACACTGTACGAATGTAGTTCTTAGTGGTCAATACAAACTCATTGTAAAGGACCCACTCTGGTTTGTGGTCAAGGCAGGTGGATGGATGGAGCTGGACAATCTGACTGTCCTTCACCGTTAGGTAGTGTCCAGTTCTTTCTAAATGGGCAACCTGCCACCAACAAGTTAAGAAAATAGAGACAATAGTAATGGTAAAATGTGTAGTTGACGTAGCTGACACAATCATTACTTCAGTGTAGCAATCATGCTTATATTGCCAAAACCTAAATAAACCTCATTGTAATGACAAAAATAACAGCTTATTTGCCGCACACAAACTTACATATTGTACCACTGGTCAATAAAATGGCACCTTGTCCATTCTGAAGGAAAATATTTTTGTTACTTTTGTTCACCAAAATACTAGTTATATTTTCAGTAGAAATAGTCATGTAGAGAAAATAACTATAGTTATACTGATTTTAAAGCCCACAATACAAGGAGACTTTGTCATCAAGGTCCCCTTCAGTTAACACTCTTCCATCAATATACAGCTAACTTATTGCAATAGTGAAACAATGGATTCCTTCAAGAGATTTATGAAAACTTGCTTTTTGAATTACCTAACAGCTTCTTAATATTTTGATGGAAGTGTGGGGATGTAATCTTTACAAGGTAGTAGAAATTGAAATTATTGATATATTCCTGTGAAAATGTCTGGAAGCCAGTGATTTTTCTCGTAAAAATAGGCTGCTCTTCTAAGCAAATAATATATTTTTTACTTTGAATTTCATGGATAGGACAAAGCTAACTGAATTAAAAAGACACTTTGGGGATGGGGTAATAAACAATGTTGTTTGGTAAGGAATTGATATCTATTGACCTGCATGAAAAATCCAGAAACCAGAGCCTTCCTGATGTTAAGATAGTAGTCCCGACTAGTGAAGTCAGTACTGGATCTCCGTAAATTGAACCGATCCATGATCCTGGCCAGCTGCTGCCGTACGTTGTCAGCACTCTTCAGTGATCGGAAGTTAACAAAGTTGTCATAACACCACTGGGGATCTTCCTGGCCTGAAAATGATGGACACATTACATTTACAATCAGAAAGTTTATCCCATTAAATGCAAGGTAAACAAAACGATTCTACATTTGCCAGAAATTTTTAAGACAACATGCATCAGAAAAAATCTGTATCAAGGAAATTTTGACAAAATAATACAGTAATAAGTGAATTGTATGTTCACTGTTCTGCTATCATATTAACTTTTCCTGTTTTCAGTGACAAGTTTGAGATTGATTTTATAATGAGGACTGACATTCTGTAACATTTCATTTAAGATGAAGCCGAGATTCAGAACGATAAAAATGTATACTGCGACTAAGAAAACTCTATCGTCAACATAGCAGATAAAAGATTCCTTGTCTTGCACATGTTTGCATCACAATTGTATAATCTGAAATTGTTTCCTTTCCAAATTACTTGATACAATTTTATTACCTCCCTTTGTGTTATATGTCATAGCGACATATGAATATGACAATTATGATTTTGACATCACTTGGAATCAAATTTGTTGTAAAGGTAGTAGACAAATTGGACCAGACAGAAAATGTACCACTGAAGACAATGAGATTTCCACGTCTTACGTACGAGAAACTGATTTCTATTAATGTAGCTACACCAAAATGTGATCATCTTTTAAAATTTGAGACAAGACTAAAATTTTGGAAAGCCAAAACAATACACAAATATTTACAACACCTGACTGCTACTTACTTTGTTTGAATGCATGGTATACATTGAGAAGAGTGAGGTGGTCCCCGTCAATGTGAGCAAACCTCATCTTTGCCTCATCAGCTGCCTTCTTTGCCTCCGTGGGTCGCACAAAACACTGTGGGACTAAATGGGTGATACGGGGCCGGGCACAGAGCCCATCCGCATCGGCATTAGTAACCTAGTCTGTCACAGGCATTACTGATAGGAAGATGACTAAAAGGAAGCCAGTATATTAGCCATGGGTCCGATACAACCAAAAACATTACAATATATCAAGTCTGTGACGTAATTCTCATAACATCAACCCAATGACTCGAGATCAAACACTTCCAAAATAACTAATACATGCAGCATCAACCAAATTAAATCTGAATATTGCCACAATACAAAATAACTTGTCACCTTAAGGTCCATGATACAGATTCACTCCAATTAACCTTGATTAAATATGCCAAAAAATATCCTTACAACTAAACCTTACTTCTGTGTCTGTCAAAACATTTATATCAATCAATACAATGATTTGTAACTAAATACAGCCAAAATTCTAACAGCATACCAACCTTAGGGCTTCTAACTGACTAAAACAGACTGTCACATTTACTTAAATATTTGTTGGTGATAAAGTAGTCAAAAACCACATTTATGTTTACAAGACATAACACCCAATGAGTCTATCAGTGGAGATAGTTATATAATACATATGTAATAGCATATTTTAAGTAGTCTTGCACAGGTGAAACTACCTTAAAACTTCCACAAACCACATAGACACACATGGAATCAAAGTATCCATCTCTATCACTACTAACAAATATACCTATTTACCATCAACTCCTTGGGATACCATGAAGTTAAGTCCTATTTACTACAATAACTACAGTACATTGATATGCATTTCAACATTTGGATGGCATTATAGATGGAATATCTCAAAACAGTTGTATACCACACAACATACTTGTATATCATACAAAGACGGATAAAGCTTTTCATCTTATCTCAAAAATAAATATTTTACTCAAGCATTCTTATTCAGTATAATGAAGTAGTAGCTTTCTTTCGAAGTATCATATTGATAAGATAAAATCTCAACAATAACTGAAGAAACAATCAAAATTTGATCTGGAACAAAGGCAATGATTTATAGGATCTTAAAAAGCAGAAAATTGGGATAGGGAGAATGTTTGTAATATATCAAAATGACAATGATTTACGTGATCTTAAAAATCAGAAAATCGCGATATGAAGAATGTTTGTAATATATTTAAGGACAGTGATTTATATGATCTTAATGTCTTCACAAAAAAGGAAGTCTTTCGTCATTTTGCAAAAAGGATCTGAAGGGCGATACTTCTCCAGTGTGTGCAAATTCTTTTAACAATGGTCTAGATAACTGATTTAGAATAACTGAATATAACTCACAGAAATCCAACTTAGTTGAAATTTGAAAAATTGTATCCTTATTGTTTTACTTTAGTTTGAAACTGGCGAGTATGTTCACTGTTCACGGGGCATATATATTACCTGACAACATGGCAGTTATTGATAAAATCTCATTGGAACAGGTGAAGTCACAACTGGCAATCACCATCTTGGCCAGTTGTGGGTCAAGTGGAAACTCTGCCATCATGGACCCAAGTTCTGTCAGCTCTCCATCATCATCTAGGGCTGCGAGGTAATTCAACAATTCCAAAGCTCTCATCAGCGTCTCAGGAGCTAAGGAAATAACATTACAAATTTCAATCATGAACTCATTCAACCCCATGGCCTATGTATGTTTTAACTAAGGTATAAAATACTCAATACTCTCTTTGTATTGAATAGTTGAAGAAAATTCTAATGGCATTTAAATGACATTTCACTTTGTACCACTGAAAAAGCTAAGCATTCCCCATTTCCCTTCAGTAATTTTCAAGTGGTATAATTCATATTTTCTGCCATGACTTTGTATTCTACCCAAATCTATCAACTGTTTCATATTCATACAAGTCTTTTTTTTCCAGATTTCCATAAATTTTTGTACAAAAATTACTGTTCCAAGTAAATATTTTACGATCAAATTAAAACATGAAAGCCCATCTATATTGACTATCATCAACATAATATTGTGTCAGAGGCACACAACAATTTTCCATTGCTTTCTCAGAAATAATTGTGTTATCCGATATTGAATTACAATCTCACCTGGATATAAATTTGCCATTTTCTTTAAAACACTTAACCCTCTCCTGAGATATTAGAAGGGAGTTGATTTTGACAATTTAACCACACTTGTTCACAATAACAAATTAAAAATTTCTTTTAAATTTTCTTTTTTTAAATAATGATATCTAGAAACTCACCTGGAGGATCCATAAAATCGAAGTGGACTAGATCATCAATACCAAGTTTCTTCAGTTGTAGCACTACAGATCCCAGATTTGACCGCAAGATTTCTGGGTATGTGTTTTCCTGCATTTCCTGTTTGTATGCTCGTTCTGTATATAGACGGAAACACTTTCCTGGCTGTGTTCTACCTGCACGTCCTGCCCTCTGTTGGGCGCTTGCTTTACTAATGGCTGTCACTAAAAGTGATTCTACTCGTATACGTGGGTTGTACACCTGTTCAGAATAGAATTTAACAATTATTATCAAAATAAATAACTTTTTTGGAAATAAATCAACGGTTGAGTGAAAATGATCTCCAATCAGTGTAACTGATTTTATGTTCTGAAAGAATGAACTTGACAAACTTTGAAAGATTTAGATGGCCAATCATATGTCTACATCCACAAAAAGTTATTTACTTCCATAAAAAGTATATACCTTTTGTTTTGCAAACCCTGGATCTATCACAAATACCACACCATCAATTGTTAAAGATGTCTCTGCTATATTGGTCGAAACCACAACTTTTCTTCCTATCGCTCCGTTTGCCTTCTTAGCAGGAGCAGGTTCAAATATCCGTTGTTGTAGGTTTGGAGGGAGAGTGGAATATAAAGGTATACATTTCATGTCTCCAATTTCTGGTCCCAAATTATCAATTTCTCTCTGTATTCGTTTACATGCTTCGTCGATCTCCTGTGAATGAGAACAAATGTGTTGTGGTTAAGTTGGCAAAACACTTATCGTAAACATTTAGAAACATGTTTATATCATCATATATCAATTGTTTCAAAATTCACCGAAACTTTTGATGTGGTAGTATTTCATCTGACCTCGAATGGAACCATAGTTATCTTAAGACTGAGAAATATTCATCCAATTCAATATTGAACAAAAATTAACGCACTTCTCATTCAATGACAACTGATGAACCTACTGACCTCTTGCCCAGTGAGGAACAACAGAATATCACCCTCTTTTTCCTCACACATGTGTATCTGCACTACAGTACGTATAGATGCTTCCAGATAGTCCCTCTCAGGCTCTGGTGTGTAGAAGATCTCTACAGGATGAGTACGTCCTGGTACACTCATTAGTGGTGCATTGTCAAAGTAATTCTGAAATTTTAATGTTTTCCTTTCAGTTCTCGACCACAAATAATTTATATATGTATATATATATAGAAAACCTTCACTGTACTGTGATTAAGATAATGACAACCAAGTCTTTTCCATCAAAATTGCAGAAATATCACTTAAGTATATCATAATGCATCTGATTATAACTTGTACAGTACTAAGTTGTTTTAGCAATTTGACTTCCTCATGATAAGAATTCCACAGAAGTTGATTGGTTGCTTGTGTGGTAAACACTTGAGAGTTTATATTGGTGGTTATGTGAAATTAAATTCCAATTTCTAAAATTTAGAATATTTTGCAGAAGTTCCATAAAAAGCATCCCTTTTTAGGTGTCTAAAGTAAAGATACTGTCTCTATTGGACAACCCATAAAAACTGACTGTACCTGAAACTTTCCAGCATCTAGGGTTGCACTCATGATGATGATTTTGAGATCTGATCTCTGTTTGGCGACTTCCTTTAGAAGACCCATGAGGATATCTGTAGCTAGGGTACGCTCGTGAGCCTCATCAAGCATGATGATACCATAGTTTTCTAACAGTGGGTCTGACATACCTTCTCTCAGCAACATACCATCTGTCATATATCTGTCAATCAGTGAGGTATAAAATGAAATGCATTACCTGATGTTGTTTCAAAATAAAATGGCATGAAGTAATATGAAACTTTTAAAGTAAAACAAAATTTTGTAAACAAATTAAAACTTTGTTGAAGAAGGATTTTTAATCATAGATAATCACAGAAAATAAGTTTTACCAGATATTTCAAGACAAATTAGGTATCTGAATTTATTACGGGTCTAACTATAATGAATTGCAGAGGCTTACAGCTGGGATATAAACAACAGAGATTGGTGCAGTTTACTTCAGATATCAACAAAAATCTCTTACTTTAGAAGTGTTTTTGATGAAGTGCAATCTTCAAATCGGATACTGTAGCCAACTTCTTGTCCCAGGCCAACATCCATTTCCTCTGACACGCGCTGAGCGACCGACATAGCGGCCACTCGTCTTGGTTGTGTACATGCAACTCCTTTCTTTGCAAACCGTGCTCTCACCCACTCGAGGCACCATTGGGGAATCTACAACACACAGAAAATTCATCCATTGCATCAGGCCTATCATCCATCAACATAGTAAGAAGGATATTTATGAGACAAATGTTAAATCTTAAAACTTGATCAAAACCTGGCCATTATTTCAGATCATGCTCAAAACAAATCAGTATACACTTTCTGACACTACATTACACACACCTCCTTTTCACATCTGATCTACATGGACATCTTCATTCAAACAAAATCTATTCAGTAATTTTGAAGGATGTTTTATTCAGATTAGATTTGCCAATTTGACCTCACTTCATATGTCTGGTAAAGATACGAGGTAAATAATAAAAAGTATTAACAAGATAAAACCCTGTTACATTTTTTCATGGGTTAGACTTGTCAAAATGATTTAATGTTCTAAAATAAAATTAAGTATATAGAGTTGAAATCTTCAGATTTGCTCTGCCTATAGCAATGACATGTACTTTACACTAAGTATAAAATAACAAAGTGACAATTAACAATTTACGGTAAATTAATAGTACAAATTTAACTTTCCTTTTATAACATGTTACATACTTGTGTAGTTTTTCCAGAGCCTGTCTCTCCCACCAGTACCAAAGTCTGGTTTTTATTTAGCACATCCATAAATTTCTCTTTGTATTCCCATACTGGTAGTTTGCTTCTTTTGTTAAATAACTCGAAGTATCTGGGTGAATAAGGAAGACCTGAAACAAGAAATCATGAAAAATATCAAATAATTTCAATTTTATTTTCAAAGTCCAATATTTCAGATATCCTGTTTCTTAACTCTTTTATCATGAAAAATAATTAGCATTTTAATTGTAATTACCAATTAAAAGTCTTAAATTTATGCACAAAGATCTTAAAAAAAAAACCTGCCTTGGTAAACTTGACTACTAAAGAAAGAATTAATGAAAGCCTAAAACCAACTATGTTAAATGCATGCAATTGATCGTGAAAAAGATGAAAAGACATGGACTTAACCTATTTATTCATGTTTTAAAACCATTACATGTTGAAAAAATGAGACATTTTTCATAACTGTCAGTCGGAATACGGGCAAATACTTTGCTTTAATATGATTGCTCATATGTGCATTTACATATATGTAATTGTACTGGGATACCTGGAAATCTAGTACTTCAAAATGGTACTCGAATTGAAACACCATTCAAATATGGACTTCATATACTTCTATATGTGTAATATTTACCATCATCTACAGATCAAGTACTGTAAAGTCACATTCAAATATTATGCCATTCATTACAGACCAACAACAAAGGGGACTTATAAAGTACTCTATGAAAGAAAATATCAATATGTACCTGTGAATGGGTTCATTTGTATCTGTGGCTTGGGTATATTAAATTGTTCGAATATTGATTTGGGTTTTTCCTCTTTGACTTTGTCCCCATCTTCAACCCTGGAAAAAATGAGAACATATTTTATCATATAAATAAGGTCTATCTCACATTTTGCAGTCTAACAATAAAAAACGTGCGTCAACCTCTTATGAGTATGAAAAAAGATGGTTCACATTAAAATGAAAGAATGGTTATTACTATTTTTCAATCTGACCATTTTTTGTGGGGATCATTGTAGCAATTCCATTTAGTACCAGTGAGGAATGACAACTCTTTAATAATCTTAAGAATTTGGAACAAACTTTAACACATCATATTGATTTTGACCAATCTGAATTCAATTACTGGTGTCAAATGTGTTGTATCACTTTTACAATTTTGAAAGATCTTGTGTCTTGGAATTGAATCTTCTGTATACAATCTGGCCATGCCAGTGTGCAAAGAGACAAAGTGATAAACTCTGACTGGCATCACAGATGTGAGAGAAAAAAAATTTAATGTAAATAGAATATTCTCAATACCTTGATAGTAAAAGTTATTTTCATCTTTCGAAATGGATTTTTTTCCCTGTTTTTCATTCACAAATATCAAAGTTTTCATCCCAATCAATGAAATATGACTTTTAATCTTCAAAAAACAAAGAATGTCCTCTACTTCTTGAGGCAAAATTAGACATCACTGTTGACTCTGCTAGCAACCCATGAGACCTATGTAGCTTTTAAGTGTTAATGAGAGGTACTTTAAGGCTGTATCATGTATTGGCAGACCTAGGCCAACAACCAAAGTAACAATTGGGTTTATGCACACAACACAACATTTTATACATCAAAATTTCAATAAATATCTGTATCCAGCACTGAGAAATGTGTAAACTATCTAAGGACCATAACTCTGGAAAATTAAGTCAACAGGAAGAAATATACATCTGTCCTCTATCTTACTCATTTGATAAAATAAATACTTGGTAATATTCAGTTCACTATTCCTATCTTGTTCAGTCCAAGGGCCATAACTCTAGGAAAACAAATAATAAATGACTAGAACAAATGTACATTTCTACCTGCACTGAGCAGGGAGTAATTTTGAAGCAGATTCTTGTTGAGGTAGTTGGGCAGCTACCTTAATGATCAACATACAAGTGCCCACCCATTGCATGCCATTCTAAGCCATTACGATAGGCTTGCCCAAGGAAACAACCCATGACAGCACAGACCAGTCTGTTTCTCAGATTCCTGAAAACCCAAACTGACATTGCACACCACACATCTCAGATTTCGACCTGTGGTAATGTAGACCAACATTATATCAACTGAGCTGCTCCTGTACACCAATGGATAGATTTGATCACGAGATCAGAGGATTTAAATATACCCTCGAGGTCGCATCGGCAATACGGTGCTACAGTCTTATCTAATCCAAAAATGATCCCATCCCTATCACAGGGACAAAATATGCCATATAAATATCTTACTACGTTTAAATTTAGACAAAGCTTATACATGCCCCTGTGGCCTGATCACCAGCCGGGCGGTAGCTTTTCAAGAATTGATAAATGATTTTGGTTTATTATATGACCTAATGTACCATCATATAATATACCCGTCACCATTTTTGTGAACATTATGTACTGTTATTCAAACAAGGTTCTCGCAAATTAGTAAAAGCGAACTGAAAACAATGGTGAAATTATCAGTGTTTATGGCGATACAATACCCAACTAAAACTGTTTTTGCTCAGTTTACAAAATCGATGACAACAATTTGATCATATCTGATATGCGTGAAAAATTGTTCTCCGATACTGTAGAGATATAAATCATGTTTTTTTTCGACGTACCGTGACCTCTTAGAGGAGTCTCCAACATCTATGCGGTGTCTTTTCGACATCATGGAAAACTTTACCCTGCAATAAATATACGTCAGTTGTTCGTGAGACAAAACCACAAGGAATGATGGGATACGTTGTTATCTATGTGGGTAAAAGGTAAATAAAATGCCCGGATGAAAGCATGTTTGGTCTTTGCAACTACTTCCGGTTTCATTTTGACCTCAGACGTGGTTTAGAAATTTGCATAGACACAAAATGGATTTTAATTCTAAGTATCCCCCTTTCGAATTGCAGAAATCTCGATTCGATCAGGTTTGTTTGATTTGATTTTCTCGATAGCAAGACTGAAAGTGTGCGCATGACGGATCATTTAGCGTCATTTACAAAGATAGGCATAGTTGATAACAGCTCGCTTTCGTTTTAGAGAACATAGCGATTGGACGGGCAACATTTCAGAAAAACCAGTTGTTCCATCATAAAATGCGCGCGAAAACAATAATAAGAAAGACTTTATATTACTGACTGACAAGTCTTCAGAAAGCGTTTAAAAGTACATATGAAGATTTTTCAGCATGCATACCATGTTAAAAATATTGACAGTCCACATAGTTGTTATGGCCGACCGTTACTCGCAGACCTGTCTGTATGCCTGTTTAGAAAGATGTAAAGAATGCATGAGGGAACTTGAAAGGAGAGTTGCGGTCTTTTCACATGCTTAACAGTTACAGGCATAATCATCACAATCTCTCTGTTAGATTAGTTTACGATGTTGTGTAACAGATCTCGGGAGGCGTTGACCAGTTGACAGAGCATTTAGGAAGAGTTATCGCTCTTCGTACACGTTTTATTTCTTACGTTTCAGGGAACATTTTATGGAAGACTACGCCACTTTCTTGATGTTATTGACCCATCCACACTGTTGACAACTGAAGTAAGTTTTACAGAACACACTGTAGTTTTACAAGGATAAATGATAATAATAATAATGAAAATACGAAAACAACTTGAATAACATGTCTTATATTTTAACTCCTTAACAATTATAGAGTTCTAAAGGAAAATTAAATGAATATTTTTTTTCTGTTCATGATCACTCTAATTCGAAACGTTTTTATTTATATTGTATATACTTTCGTATGTGAGAAGTATACATATCAAACAGTCTAATTTACACAAACCATCATGCACATTTATACATATTTGTCAATATTCAGCACTATTCAGGACATCTTCCCTCAACATATGTATCAGGTAGTTACAGCACATCCCTTTACTTTTCAAATGTATACCCCAACATCCCATTATTATGATTCTGTCACATAGAAACACTTAAACTTCCATACCTCTTCACCCCATGGCCACCCCATTTCCCTCCCACAACGCCAATCATTCTATTCTTACTCCATTTTCCCTTCTTTTACTCACCTAGCCTTCTACCCAATCACACGTCAACTGCTCTTCCTTTCTATGATTATACCTTCCACCTCATACTCTTCACCTCATCGTTCTTCATTCTGGTGATGGCCCTCACCCTTCTAACCCATCAACCCATCCCATCTCCTTGTTGTAAATTTTCCACTTCTCTCTTCTTTGCTTCACACTCATGGATTTTTAATGTCTCTCATGCTAACTTTCACCATTCTAACCTTTCAAACCAATCAAATCCTTATTACCCCCTCCCTATACATTCTCCACATTCTTCTTTTCCACTTCCCTCATGCATTCTCTACATTCCTCTTCTCCACTTTCCTTTAATACACTCTCCACATCTTTATTCTCCACTTTCTTCTCATACATTCATCACATATCTTTCCTCCACTTCCCAATTATACATTATCCACATCTCTCTTCTCCACTTCCTTCATACATTCTCCACATCTCTCTTCTCCATATCCCTTTCATACTTTTTCCATATATCTCTCTCTACTACTTCCCTCTTCTCCACTTCTCCTATACATTCTCCACATGTCTTTTCTCCATTTCCCTCTCATACACTATCCATGTCCCTCTTCTCCACTTCCCCTATACATTCTCCACATGTCTTTTCTCCATTTCCCTCTCATACGCTATTCACGTCTCTCTTCTCCACTTACCTCTTATGAATTCTCACGTTTTTCTTCTCCACTTCCCTTTCATGAATTCTTCACATCTCCCACATTCTCCCTCACCACACCCTCACTTTACTTCTTAGATAAAGCCCTCCTCTTTCCTTTGTTGATTTAACCTATACAGACATGTTTTTACCCTTCATCCTTTTTGCTGATTCATCACTATAGAATCTGTCATTATTTCCTAATCTGTTGTAGTCAAAACTGAATGAATGTATACAGCTATTGGATGACTATAAGAATAAAAAGACACCACCAGGTACAACAGATGAACAGTTATGGCGAGCACAGAAGGTCAAACAGGTAAATAGAATTGTAGACCTTGCCAAAAGAGCCTCTTGGTTAGGATTAATTTTCACATATGTATGTCAGTCAGAATCTGGAAAACTAAATGTTTATTTACAGGAATGTTTAAATATCAAATCTCAAAAAGTAAATGACAAAAGGAATCACATCACAATGAATTCTATAAAAGAATTTCAATTATTCAGGTATCAACTTACATGCCATGACAAGAAAATTTCACATGTGGACTCACCAGATAGAATAAAACCCAAACTTGCTGAATGTTGTTCTCCAATGTTCAAATTCATTTGTAGGATTCTTCATATTATAACCTCCCTTTCCATTAATTGACATCTCTTTATTAACAAATTATTTAATATGCACATTTTAAAAAATTATATACTATCAGCTTCTTTGTTTGTTTTAAAAGTATTGCTATAAATTTCATGAACCAGGGATGATTTCGCATGTTAAGCCTGCTATCCAATCCAATCATATGCTTCATACAGTTGAATTTGTTGAATCAGGAAATATTTTTATTGTTCTACACAAAAACATGAAAAAAACCCACAATTGGCCATAGCATTAGGTATATTTGTGTAGCATGATTCAAACCATTAAGTGGAGGTGGGTAAGATGGAAAAATGAAGGGTGTAAAGAAAGGAAAATCTATGAGGAATGCCTAACTTTGATAATTTTATCACTAGCCCACCAACTTTCCTTGGTTTGTGGGTGTGAAGCCTGTCTGGGGCAGTCACCAGGTAATGGCTGCAGGTTGACGTTTTCTCCGAGAAACTAAACTAACTTGCTTTAGTTAATAATGGAAATGACTTAAAAGAAAAGAAATATTTTTATGAATGTATAACAATTAATGTGAATTTACTTTTTTTTCCTTAGGCAATTATTCACCCTGATACAGGTGAAAAAATTTTGATGCCATTCCGAATGTCAGGTATGATGAATCTTAATGAACTTATGATGACACCAGAATTGAGATTTCAGAAGTTACAGAATATTGGGATTCTTTCTATAAAAATCATATTAGTTTTGAAGTTTTTGTTGTATCTTACACTGATTCAAAATGTAAGACAGTTGACTCTTAAGGTTTGTGTTCATGGTTAATATTTTTGATTACTTAACAAAAAATTTGTGCAGCAAACTGATCGAAGACAAAAAAAGTTAAACCTGTCACGAATGGCAGCTATTTATTCAGCCAGGGATTAGAACACACATTTAAATGGGTTAGCTGTAAAAGTGGAGTCAAAAGATCATTTCTTTAATTACTAAAATAAGACTAGGGTAGGAAAGTTTTGTTGATGATGTATTAGTTCAAATTTGTGTCATCTGAACTGAGTTCTTCTTTTTTTTATTATTTTCAGGATATGTACCCTTTGGAAGTCCAATTGTAAGTATGATATTTTATTGTACGTGTATGACCTTGTGTGCAGGTTTGAGTCTCAATATTAATTTCAATAGTGATGATGTTTGTTGATATAAATTTGTTCAAAAAATGTTAATCATAGAAGTAAATTTGGTTAACTTTCTCTTTTAAAATGACGTAAAGTTACTTGTGTTGACTATTTAGAAATTTATATCAGTACACATTTTTGTTCTTCAGCTAACCTTTTATGACCTTGAATGACCTTGACTATTCTGATTCTGAAATGAAACAATCCTGTGTGACCTGTTGACCATGAGATGGGTGACATTTGTTTGTACACATTTCATGGTGTTTACATTTAGCACATTACAATTTACTAACTTTGGTTTGTAAAAATGGTTTAAATTTTGTACAACACAATTGATAATTAATAGACCAGAAATAGTATTAAACAGTGCCATCTGAAACCTTAAAATTTGCTTCTTAAATTTTCATATTCTGGTGAGTTAAAACTGAACATTTGATGTATGATAGTAACACTATAATGAATATAATATTTTTAGTGATGAAACAGGTGAAAAATGATACATTTTCAATTTAATGATAATGGTTTTTAGTTTAGTAACATTTTGCATATAAACTTCAGAATGACTCCATGTTACTGTCATTTTGAGATAACATTTTTTATACATCATCTGTATTAGCTGGAAAAATATTAAACATGAGAATGATCAAGATATAATGCCCTTTGACCTGTCAATAATCTAGCTGTACCCTCAGTTGCTGTAAATCCTGATGAACTTTGACCTGTGTGCCATTTGTATCCTCAGGTTGTAGGTCTGTTGCTGCCCAACCCTTCCATTAAAGGGGTGATCCTATGGCAATGGCTTAATCAAAGTCACAATGCTTGTGTCAACTATGCCAACAGGAATGCCACTAAGGTCTGTTATCTCTGATATCTGTGTATTTTGTGGTTTGATATTTAGTTTAGTTTCTGCATGTTAATTGATGTTAAAGATATACTCTGTTATGTAACTTTATACAGACATAGTGTCTCACCATTGACCCCCAGGACTCCAAGTCAGGCAATACCTATTTAGGAGCTGTGAAATAATAAAAATAAAAGTGGGGATTAAGTATTAACAAAATGTTAATATCTGTAAAAATATTTTTATGCAATGTATCAGTGATTTATGGTATAATTATGGTATGTTTTTATTTCAGCCAACACCAACCTCGAAGTTCATGGCTGGATACATAGGTGCTGTCTCAAGTGCTGTGTCTATAGCTGTAAGAATCTATAAATACTAAAATATAACCCAAACCAAGAGTAATCTATAAACTACCATGTTTTTTGTGTGGCCTGCAGAGCTGGCGGACACTTTGGGATCACTTTGTCTGTCGTCACACGACGTTGTTGTCGTCCGTACGAAAGTTTTCCGTTTTTTTTCCGTAATGCTTTGAGTTATCAAAATGAAATTTGGCATATGGCTTCTTGTTGCAAGGGTACAGTTTAAGTTTGATTCCTTGCTGTCTGTGACCCTTCTTGGCTGAGTTATGCCCCTTTGAAATTTGAAAATTCTCTGGGAATATTGGTTTTCTTGACTTTCTTTGGTTATGCTTTGAGTTATAGAGATGACATTTGCTATATGCTGTCTGTGACCCTTCTTGGCTGAGTTATGCCCCTTTGAACTTAGAAAATTCTCTGGGAATATTGTTTTCTTGACTTTCTTTGGTTATGCTTTGAGTTATAGAAATGACATTTGCTATATGGCTTCCTGTTGGAAGGGTACAGATTAGTTTTGATTCTTGGCTGTCTGTGACCCTTCTTTGCAGAGTTATGCCTCTTCGAAAATTCTTCGAGAATATGCTTTTTTTGTACTTTTCTTGATTATGCTTAGAGTTTTTGAAATGAAATATGAGAAATGGCTTCATGGTCGAACTTTACAGATAAGGTTCGATTCACGCCTTCTTGGCAGAGTTATGCCCAGTTGAACTTGGAAAATTTACTTGGTTATGCTTTGAGTTATGAAAATGTAATTTTGTATATGAGTTCTTGGTTAAAAGTTACGCACCGAGTTCGCTTCTTGGCAGTCTAGAAACCTTCTTGGCAGTGATATGTCCCTTTGAACTTGGAAAATTTCTCAGGAATATTGCTTTGGGCAGTTTTCCCTTTATGCTTCAAGTTATAGAAATGAAATTTGGTATTACAACTTTATGGTTGATCGTTGCACATCCAGTTCAATTTCTGGGTGACCGTGAGACACATACAGTTCCGAGGAACTCTTGTGATGATATAGGAAACATAGTTTCAAAAAAACTCACTGCCAAATCATGGGTCATCACTGTTAAATCATGGGTCACCACTGCCAAATCAGAGGTCATCACTGTTAAATCACAGGTCATCACAGTTAAATCATTGATCATCACTGTTAAATCGTGGGTCATCACTGTCAAATCACTGGTCACCACTGCCAAATCAAGGGTCATCACTGTTAAATCATGGGTCATCACTGTTAAATAATGGGTCATCACTATTAAATCACTGGTCATCTCAGCCAAATCATGGGTCATCACCGCCAAATCACTGGTTATCACTGCCAAATCACGGGTCATCACTGCCAAATCATGGGTCATCTCAGCCAAATCATGGGTCATCACCGCCAAATCACTGGTTATCACTGCCAAATCACGGGTCATCACTGCCAAATCCTAGTTACTGATTTTCAAGGGAGTTGTTTCTCTTTATCTGCATGTATTTAAAAAAAACCATTATTTCCTGTTCCAAATTTTTCAGTTACCCAACCTCTTTGAAACTTGGTTTGCTTAGATCTATCATTAAAACATATTGCTTTCTTATTACCAATGCAATGCTTGTATTTTCATTATACATTAAATCATATTTTCTTTAACATGGGACAGCATATATTCTTCTGCCTTGTTCTTTTGTTACAGGTTGGTTTGAATCAGTTGATCAAAAAAGCTGATAAATTCAGTCCCTCTACCAAAACATTAATTTCCAGATTTGTTCCTTTTCCAGCCGTTGGTAAGTCTAAGCACACTATAGATAATATCGAGAATCAGAATTGAGAATACAATACATGTACATTGTATTTACAAGAACCAGAAACTAATATATATATATCATGTCTGTACAATGTATCTGTGTCATACTTAAATTACATCATACTGAAAGTTCCATGTGTCCGAATATTGTGATAAAGAATTCATTCCTGGAAGAACTTTAGTATCATTAGCTGGAAGGATTCAAAGTATTTTTACTAGCAGTATTATGGAACATCTACAGAATCTGTAATATATCATATATATAGTTAAACCATACTCAAGAAGTCAAGTTTACTTACTAGTTTGATTAGAACTTTGAAAGCAATTTTGCAATGGTTGACAACATTATACAAACAGTGGCAGAAGTTTAGTTATATTGAGAATGTCTGTTCACATAAGCATACTGTAAAATGTAATTATATGTAATTAATCACAATATTGCTACATGTAATTATAGACGTACTTATGCAATTTGTACCAACATTTTGTCTAAGGCTTTCGAATCTTTCGGGTCTTCAGCGGCAGCCAATGTTTGCAATGTATTACTGATGAGGAACAATGAGTTGTCTGAAGGGATAGATGTTGTGGATAGTAACCAGAAAGTAGTTGGCACATCAAAAATTGCTGCTAAGCGGGTAAGTTATTAGTACAGCTTGTCATATACAAAATTATGTTTTAACCATCCACCAAAGTTTTCAAATTTTTCATATCATTCAACTATTCTGATTGATCATATTTATGTAATACATTTAGGTTTCTTTTCGTTTTGCACTGATGTAATAAGAAAACAAAACTTTTTTACATTCTGAAATTGTAATTTTTACTGGATAAACATTAGTAGTCCTATAAACTGTTGATGTTGTAATAACAGGCTGTGCGGGAGACGGCAATCACGAGAATGTTCTTGCCAGCCCCAATCTTGATGCTCCCTCCTTTAGTCATGTCACTGGTGGAGAGGTATGTGTATACATTTTAGTAAATAGTACTTTATTGAGCACTATTCCTATAGAATGGATCAGGTATGTTGGCAGATTTCCCTTGTGGTATAAAAATTTGTTATGATACATGGTTATTTTTTAATGGAGAGTATTTTTTAATGGAGAGTTCATTTGATTTTTTAATGGAGAGTTCATTTTCTTGTATTCCTTGTAGAAAGTATGAATTTCATGATCATTACAAAACATTACAAGCAAATTTACTTAATCAGAATTTCAATAACCAATAATCAAGTGGTGATTAGGTGGAGCATTGGTTACATGCTTTCCATTCACCGCGCATCCAAGGTTCTATTCCTGGAATGTTGCCGTTGTATTTCATGCACTTGACATTTGAGGATAACAAGTCTAATAGTGAGCAGGGGAAAGTGAGAAAATAGATAGAAAAGTGATCATACTTATTTGTTTTCGTTTTTGTTAAAATTGGTTTATTTATTGAGTCCTATATATCCACGAAATTGAGTGTCCTGAAATAAAAAGAACAAAAAAAAAAAAAAAAAAATAAAAAAAAGAAGAAAACACCAACTTGTCTACATAATCATAATCTAACCCAAATCCAATAATACTAGAGGAAGCTATTAACAAAAGAAAAACTGTCATAGAAACTTCTGAAAAAAGTAAAAGGAGAATAAGTCTAGGTGTTCCCGAAGAGTAAGCGTATTTTGCTTCATCAAGGACACCCGCCATGTAAATCTAGGTAAATCCAATTAAGTTTTCATGGGAATAGGCCCTTGACCTAGCTGCAAATACCTCATTTGAAACGAACAGTTGTGTGCAAACTACCTTTAGGATAAGAGGGAAAGATACCAGCTTGATTACTTTTCCTCATGTTTTCCTTAATTCTTTAATCTACTGTCTACTGTAATGTCGCATTTGACACTATTTGTCGCATGGTCTGTGAGTTTATCTCGATCTTGTAACTATAATTTCCATCTTGTCGAGCTTCATACTCTTCATTCCCATCGCTCTATGATTTCTTCTCCTTTCGATGTTTCCATGGAATGTTTCATGGTAGTGGATTTCTTGTCGTTTCTATTTGATATACATGTAAAGTGAATATGATTTATACTTACTAAAAGATTTTCGTTTTGAATTTCAATTTATTGAAAGGACCCGGCATACCATTCTGCATTTGATACTTTAAATGTCATTTACTTCAATGAATGCTTCAGTTATATTACAAATTCACTTGAATGAAATGTAACTATAGAAATATTTTTTCTCATGTTTTCTTAGGACACGATTTTTGAAGGCAAATCCTAAGTACCACCTGGCGGTGAATGCGGTAGTGTGTACCGCTGTGTTTGGTTGTGCCTTACCTGTTGCCATTGCATTGTTTCCTCAGTATTCACAGGTACGTGTTCCTACTTTTGCTGATAAGACTGCTATATCGTAAGACTATTTGAATATTACATAAAATGCGAATATCTTCGGCCATGTAAAAGTACAAATTTTGAAACAGAATGAAACACACAATTCAAAAACTTGTTAAATGTTATAAGGACCTTAGATTGAATTCATAACCAATTTTGAAACATTTTCAAAGATGAAATGAAATGTTGAAAATAGATATTTTGAAAAATGAACTAATTGATGTAAATTAAATCCTTTTTATGAAGCTGGTGATAAAAAACAACAAATATTTGAATAATGTCAAAAACAACTTTCTGAGTGTTATTGTTTGATGTTGATTTAAATGTGACGTTTCGATGGTAATTACGGAAAATATGACAATGCTGAACAAAATGTTAACATCTTAGGGAGTTATTTCAAGTCAACTTCATGTTTATATATTAAAGATGATACTGAGGTTTTAGCACAGTTCTTTCAGTACACGGCACTGATCAGACGGTTTCCTTATTCCAAAATTTATCATTATGTTATATTTTTTTGATAACGGACCTAAGTCACAAAAGTGACTCAACGTTGTTTATAGCGATGCGTTGTATTAACTGTGTTAGTTAGCAGATGTTGATGGTGATTGCACCGTTTTTTTTGCACGGATACACGTGCGGAGATGTGATTGATGATACATGCTATGTTTAATAGACAGACTTACTTTATCAGTGTGTAATCTTTATGTCACAACACACCACGTGTTCCCAAAATGTTGGACTGACCGAACTAACATTACTAATGCAAGTATTCTTTGTATTTGTAAAATTGTTTCTGTGATAAGGACTCCTTGAAACGATGAAAAGTGAAAGAAAGTAATAGATAGGAAAGCTGTGTGAATTTTGACAAAACGATAACGATATATTTGAGCGGGTTTTAAAAAACTGAATAATATTGTTTTTTTTTATATCATTACTAATTTTTATAAATGTTAACAACGCTATATGATTCTGTGAATGGGTGTAGATAAACACGCTCCTTTATATACCTGAAGTGATAATTGTAATAATCAAGGATTATCAACAATTGTCTTGTCTTGTGATGTATGAATTGTGCGTGTTATCTCGTTAATAAATGTACTTTAACAGTAAAATACGAAATCATCAAGTAAATTTGCTTGAAGCAATATATTTCATTTGGAGATCTATCAATACATCGCAATGATTGTGAAAATGATGGCAAAAAAAACCCCCACAAAATTCTAAATTTGTATTGAAAAATGCTATTCTCTTACTTGTCTTCTATTCAATTATTCTAACACCGTGTATTCAAAACTTTAAATTTAAACACAAGTATACTGCAAATCATAGAGATTTCATGTAAGAAGGATATGAAAACTTCGATATTTTTTGTTTGTTTGGGACGAGAAAAGATAACTGGCATATTCAGAATATTATGACATTTTGACTTTTATATAGAAAATCGAAGTGAAATGTGTACGCGGAAGTATTCTCGGAATCAGTACAAAACAGTATAAGTAGTTACGGAAACTATTCACATCCAACTCATGTTGATGCGCATTTTGTATGAAAAAACTTGGTCATATCGGAATACAAACATCATATTGTGTTTACTTTTACTTTGAAATAAACTTCTTGAAATTCCGTATTTTTACGTGGTACGTACGAAATGAAGTCCTTCATTATGCTTCAACAAATACAACGGAAACGTTGGACTCTTTTCTGGTAACGATTGTGAAAACGATGACTTATCAGTTATCAACACATCTTTGCTTATTGATGTCACACGAAATTAGAAAACGTGTACAGTATCCACAGATACATTAACGGTGTTATGGAAGATTTAATGATAATTGCAATCATTAGATAATCTTTTCCATTATACAAATTACCAAGTAAATGTAAGTACATACAACAGCGTTTTAAGGATGACACCAGGTTTCTTATAGTACTTTCCGATCATCGGATTCGGATTGTGCAAGATAAAACTGTATTTTGCATTGAATGGTTACGGACCTGGAAGCAAACAATGTTTTCAAATTACAAATCATTTAGTTATATTATTAGGAAAAGACTGTATCCTTACCGGGAACTTCGGTAACATTTTAAAATAGGAAACATGAACTCTGTTTTGTAAACCACAGTGCTCCAGATATCGTCCTTTCGGATTTCTCTGTCTATCTATACCACATAGAACATCAATTGTTCTTGTTCATGAAAAGACAAAAATTGCAGGCAATTATATATATAATTAGGCCCTTTTGTGCCGGGAAACACGTGTAGATGGTTGTAATGGATGTTGTGGGGCAAGGAAGCAGACATGTGATATTGGCAAGGCAAGCCATATCAGCCTCTATGTGCATGTCATACAGCCATCCAAAATAGTATGTCCACCATCTGATAAAGTCAGTGTGTGCTGCCACATGTAATGCTTACAGACAGGAGAGTCAAATCCCAAGGCACCAATTATCTCGGCGTTGAAATAATTCCACTGTTTTTCTGTTGTCGGGTACAAGTAAACGCCAAATCCCATCAACTTTCTCAGTCCATCAGTTTCCCTGAACAAATAAACGTCTTACCCAATCCTATTGCACAGTTCATCAACTGCCACGAATCGACCAAAGCCACCCTCGTTCACTCCATTCTTGGCATAGCTATTTGGTGGGCCGACATTCCAACAGATTGGCTGTCGCACGGATCAGTGCCATCTCAAGGCCTGTCTCTGTTGTGATGTGGCACTTTGTAGCATATTGCTGCTGATGATTTATCATCAGATTCCTAATTGGCAAATTAGTAGACGATTCATTTTTGTTACAACGGGAGATAAGACCTGGGGACTATGCAGTTTGCGTCTTATTGTTTCCATTAGGACCCTGATAAGTCGAAAACAGAGGTTATATTGTCGTCCGCGTAGCAGGAAACTTTTTATGATCTCAAGATACACTGTAAAAACATTTTGGCTGCCAATTCGATCTTGACACTCCATAGAGTTGCCATGTTTTGTGACAAATTGCCATTATTCTGTTAGCAATATGATCCATAGTACACCACTGATGTGGTTTACGAGAAAACTCTAACGAGGTTCAAGGTTTTATTTTAATTAGCACACCGTGCATGTTTAAAGTCACATCCATAGACAAACCTGTTTTATCACGCAAATTATACTTTTGATTTTTTTCTGTGTCTTTTGTTATGTATGCTTTTGTTTGTGCACGATTTGGCAATAGAAGGTACACATGTTTTGTTTCTGCAGATAGCTGTGGCTGACTTGGAACCGGAATTCCAGACCAAGACGACTGAATCAATATTGTCTTATAACAAAGGCCTTTAGTGACATAGAAACTAACATTGTCCACTTCCAATGTGCTATTGTTACCTTATACAATGAGTTCTCGTGACCTCATGGAGCATTTTGTATAAATATAATTATTATATTTATTGTATTTAAAAAATGCAGCGAATTTTGATTGTGCACCTTAATGATTGAGTAAACACCTTAATTTAATGTTGATGTATCTTTAATACCAAGACACTATCCACATACCAAAAGGTTTTTTTACCGTTTTAATGCGTATTGGCGCTGGCGTTTTACTTTCACGAATGATGATAAAGCTGTAAAACATGGAGATTCGTTTATGAAGTATGAAATTTTGATATTTACCTTCTTTCTTATCAAGTTTATGATATGATTCTTATAGAACTTCTCAAACAAATGACAAAAAAGAATAACTCTCTTTTTGTTTTAATGTAAGTGAGGAACTTTGTTTGCCGCCTTGGTTCTGTTGTAAAGAGGAAAAGTTTATTAATATGACATCAGAAGAAATATAAAGTATGAAATAAAAGGAAAAGATATGGGGCCAAAGTTTTAAAGCATGAACGTTTTACCATCGTTTTTTGTTTCTGGTCTAGCTATTAATAATTTTATATTGCTGAATGGGGAATGGTGATATCTAGTCATGTTTAACGATAGTGAAATATATACATTGATCTTCATTAATTAGTATGCTTGAAATATTTTAATTTACAAACGTATCGATAATATCAATCAGATATTTTAAAACAGAAAAAGACAATCCCAACTCTTAATAATGTGACGATGTGATATATTTTTCATTAAGTGTCTTTGTATATAGTTATACAGATATCATCTAGTTTAAGAGTTATAAATATGTTCCTCTTACTGTATTGTAATTATAACATCCTATTAATATTTTACCTCGTTGGACGTGGTGCTACAGTATTGCTTTGGGAAACTTACATATATTATTTGGAAATTTCTGTTAGATATACATTTTAGGCACTGTTATTTTACATGTTAGTGATGTATATAGCTTTTCGCGAAGTATTTTTCTGGGTTTTTTTCCGCGAAGTGTATCTATGTTATACTTATAGTTTTATTAGTATTTCTACACAGTACGAATGATCTAGGGAGACTTTACTCCATTTTTAGCTGAGCGCATGTTAATTGAAATATGTGAATGACAATTAAAAAAATATATGGTACTACATCTATTTTCATGTAGTATTAGCATATGTCACATGTCGAAAGAAATCTTGAAGACCGTGTTGTATTTGTTCCTTATGTTTGAAATCTCCGATCAGAAAAGTGGTTGTAGAATATGATATAAACAACCTTCTCATCACTGTTAGATTATTTCAACATGGCATACAGACACCTGAACATGAGTATAGAATGAAAATTGCCCTCGCAACTGCTGTGAAAACATGTAGATTCAACACGATGTTATGAAGATTGTATTTGTTTAACGAAATTATAACATCAAATAGAAGCCAGTACGTTTGAGGTCAGATTGAAATGAAAACATAAATTATACCCAGGAAGTTTGTATATTTACAGTACAAATATGAAAATGTCTCTTAGAAAGAATTTTTAAATTGATTGTTTTAAGTTATGAAGTCGATAATTTAATAATTTGTTCATCTGGTCTTAAAGTTTTCATTTGAATTGAACTCGTTACAGAAATATATGCGGTTTTAGATGATTGTTGTAATTTTGATACCAATGTTATAAATTGCTTTGCATTTTACGTGAAATGAATTTATCGTTATCACTTATATTTTGATATAATTAATTCCAAATCAAAGGATTTTACAGAATATATATTTTGTTATTATTTTTTAAGTTGTTAACGCAAATTGATATATTGTAACACTTGGGAACATTGAGTGCCTTACCGATGGTGACCGAGTGTGGACAACGTAATGTTTAAAGTGGATTCCAGGTCAATTGTGTTTGTATTTTATATTGTGTTTATATTCCAAACTGAAAATAAGAAAGCTGACAGGCAATGGTAATTAATTGTTAACATTGTAAGACACAATTTGACACAATGTTTACATGAAATTCTTCGTTTTGGATGATACGGTGAATATTTTTTTCAGACACGGGTAATTTCATGCCTGGTATGGCATTATAGTCATTATCTGTAGTTAATATATTTGTGATTATATTTCATGCTAATAACTTCTATTGTTATCAATATTGCACATATGGTTCACAATTTATTGATGTTTACTAGTCCTATGTGTCCATTCCTACTTTAATTTTTTCAAATTTCTGATTTTTTGTTATGATCTTTTTGGTAGTCAGTAAGGAAAGCAAACGAAAAACCCTTAAGGAAAGACTAGCGTAACGATATTAGAAAGAGCTGTTATAGGGTGATTTGCTTCTAATCTAATTCGTCGAATTTTACACATTATATGTTATGTTTCAATTAAACTGATAAATCCTTTGTACCAAACCCTCCGATGTGTTTGTAATAGAGTTATTCTGAAAATATATACCCTCAGAGAATATTGTTTTAATATGTTATAATTGTGTTCTTCTAAGAAATCCTTTGTACTAAATCACAAAATGTGTTTATGATGGGAGATATTCCCATAATCATGTAAATGTGTTCTTTAAAAGAAATGTTTTCCTTATTAATTAATGTATTCAATAAATATACAGAAAATATACACAAATTGTAACCAATTAAAAAAAAAGATATATGATCAAGTTGTTCTGGTTTTGTTGATTCTCAACATTTGTTTTAAGGATATTTAATGATTTCCTGTTTAATATCATATTTATGTAACCATTATTGCAGGACATCGATATTTGTCGAGAGCGCGAGGCAAGAGTTAAAAATATACATGATATTAAGTGAAAACCCATTTAACATTATCTTTAATTACACTTTAACGAAATAGCTAAATGTAGGTCAAAGCATAAAGCCATTCGATGTCAGAAATGCTCGACACATTAGCATATTCTCTCGAATAGTTATGAACGATGTTACTCTTGACAATTCTGTGTCGTTTTGAATTGGATGTTTACCGTTTTGTGTTTTTCGTTGCTAAAGAACCGCAAACAAAAATCTCGCAGTGCAGATAGTAAAGAAAAACCCGTCATGTAACCTTTTCATTTGTGTTTGAACAGAAAATCAAATAATTTCAATGAAATTGATAAAAGGAAAGTATCGTTCTCTAGTTTTCCAACACTAAATATACTGATCTAAAAATAAAACTAGCTTGATAGTAAGCCTGTCGAATTTTATTGGCAAAATTTTCGCCTTGTTTGAAAATAAACTTATTTGAAAAGCCAATATACTGTTCAACCGTTGGTACCCGATAGATATCAAGTGACTAGAGAGTACTCATATATTTGAAAAGACGACACATGACTAATGTCGCTCCTATATATATATTTCTAATTTCTTGGTCAGGAACTTGGTGATAAATAGAACCTTTATCACTAGTCGTTGTGGGTCGCTGTTACAGCACAAAATAAACCAAATCTCATAAAATAAGTGTACACATGTACTTGTTTACTGTTAAAAAAACAGGCTACGCTTTAATAATCTTTAGCTCCTCTGGCCCGATTTGTGTAGGAATAATTTAATTTCGCCAAATTCTGTCTGATGCATCCTTGGGTAAAGTAAAAGCATTTTGTATCAACGATGGATCTCGGTCCCCTGGAGCGTGAGGTCGGAACCAAATAGGGGAAATTCATATTGAAATAGAGCAAATTGAATAAAATCTTACTCCTTCAGAAGTAATTTGATTTTGCCCAAATTTCGTCTGAAGCATCTTCAGGTGAGATGTAATCAATTTAGCATAAACGATTGGGTCTGGGCCCTCTTAGAGCGGGAATGGAAAGACCATTACAAGGGAAATAGAACAAATTCTGCTGCATACTTCTGAAGGAATAGCAGGATTCTGTCTCAATCTGGTCTGAAGCATGGAAGGTTTTGCTGAATCGCCAGGGAGAGAATTGGAACCCAATCGGAAAGTAGATATGGTTCATGTTGTGTGCTTGCATATTCATAATTCCTTTTTCCTTTAGTTTACATGAGGCAATTTCAGACAAACCTAATGACCCATACAGCCCGATGAGCATCGAGTTGGATTTATCAATTTAAAAGAAATATGACTTTATACTATAATTTAAGATGTTATAAGATCGATTACATTGGAATCATTTCAGTTCTAATTGAAAGACAGAATCCTTCACATAAGAAAAGGAAAACATCCGTTTCAGTGTCTACCGTGATTTGAGTTATGTTAAATAAAGGTATAAGTGATTTCCCCCTTGGTTTTTACTCGACGTGTCTGATTTAAATTTTAGTATCATTGTTTTTGGCTTAAAGTGATGTGGTCTATTTCTTTTTCTTCTTCGAATGATGCTGTTTGCAATGTACGGTGACTGATTTGTGCCATTTCGCCATTTTGTCTTTTCGCCACGAAAAGAGATGAGAATAAAAAAAAAAGAAATTCTAGTTCTTTCGTCTGTCCGCCTCGAAAAGACAAATCATGCGCGAAAAGACGAAATAGATGCACGCTTATTAGTTGAGACTGATTTGTGCCATTGCGTTATTTCGTCTTTTCGCCGTGAAAACGTGAAAATTAAAAACCTAAATTGTTATCAATCCTTTATTCGAGTCTTTTCCTCCAGGCACAGAATAGACGAATTAAATGCACGTTAATTTATGGTGACTGATTAGTCCAACATCGTACTTTCATCTTTTCGCCGCGAAAAGACCAAAGTTATCAATCCTTTGTCCCCGTCTTTTCGTTTACGCTTCTAAATGACGACAATACGCGAGATCTTCTACATATGTGTTTTGAAAATACTTTTATAAATTATCTATGGCCCCATAATGATTAGAAACACAGTAAGTCATGAACTGTAATTGATCTGTCTTAGCTTATCATCTCGAAACGAAAGAATACTGAACTCATTGATTATTAGGCCAAACAAAACAAGAACTAAACTATATTTATTAAATAATTTGACATCCTGGTACTAGAACTAAAGTATACATGCTATTTACTACACTAAGATTATTTACCAAGTATTAAACAATGAATTAAAGATAAATTGCTAACATTCGTAACATATCCTTGTTAATGTGAATGCATATGTATTCACTATGTTTTCCTGGAGATTGAGTAAAGTTACTTCTGCGTTTGTACCGTTTGCATTTGGATGAATCATGGTACCACGTGGTGTTTGTTTAAGTAGCCCTTGTGATGTATGATAGGGAGACCTAGAAACGCCCACTCAATAAAACTCTGTCAAAAGTCAGAAATAAAGAAACAACCTTCAATTACACATTTAAACAATCATCATGACTTATTTGGCCCCGTAATTGCGTATTCTCATTGTAGACGGCACTCAGCCTACTGTGTGGCACAGAGGTCAGAGAAATCACTTAGCCACACTATAACAAATTTGCACGTGTTAAAACTGATTTATTGTAAACAATTTTGGTCATGTTATTCTTTTCTACATAGTAATACCATTTTCAGGCTAATTAACCCTTTAAAGTGACCTATCTGGTTACCTGCGGTGGGTGGCCGACTTGGGGTTGGGTAACACTGCCCATGATAAGTTCGGACCACCAGGCGGCGCTTTACGATCTATGTCTATTCCGCACTTTAGATACATAAACTATACGTATTACAATTTCAAACTTTTTAAAGAGCTTGCCTGAGTTTTAATCATTTTGTCATCGTTGCCAAAATATGAGGACGTTTATTGCCACACAAACGGATTTATATTACATCCTTATTGCTCTTGTTTACAGATCCAATCAAAGATTTCTAAAAGATCTGCAGACGAAGGTATACACGGCGTTGAAAATAGTACAAAGTCTCATGTTACCATCACGGACCATGATGCCAACACATTCTAAACTCATTCGAGTGCAATGCTGATTAAAATTTCAACTATATCTTCATATTCACGGATATCGCTTTAATAGGACTACGTGTAATGTTACACCTCAGCTTTTCTATGTCGCTCTGACAGGGCTTTGATATCTTGTGAGGCGTATTTTCATTTCAAGAAATGAAAACATGCATAAATTTGGTTAACATGTGCACATGTTCATTAGACATCGTTTTTCATTTACCATAGCAGATAAATCGACATTATTCACATACCACAATGCGTGTACCGGTTTCTGTTATATTTATCTCATTTATGTTCCTAACTACAATATGGTAAACTAATTAAAAAACAAAGAATGACATCATATTACAACCAACCATTTATAGCTAATATATTTGTGAAGTACTAGTTTTTATTCGTCGATTTGACAGGGAGACGTCAGCGAGTTCTAACAGAGCATGAAATAGCTGTAAGATATTTGTGTTGTTACCGTAATACTATACAGGTAGATTACATAATATTTCTAACCTGCACTAACTCACACTTGATATTAATTGTACCTGCCAGAAGGCGGTACCATCCTTATCGCCTAGATATAACTTCCTGTCAGCAGGAGGTATCATCCTCATCACCTAGCTATAACTTTCTGCCAGCAGGAGGTATCATTCTTTGCACCTAACTATAACTTCCTGCCAGCAGTAGGTAGCATCCTCATCACGAAGCTATAACTTATTGCCAGCAGTAGGTATCATCCTCATCACCTAGCTATAACTTCCTGTCAGCAGGAGGTATCATTCTTAGCACCTAGC